CACAGTAGAACTTCTTTCAAAATTGGAGTCAGTGCTCTCAAACCCTGCCACTGCTTTATATAATATTCTAAATCTGTTGTTGTCATTTCAACAATGTTCAAAGAATCTTCACCAGTAGATTCCATCTCAAGAAACCACTCTCTGTGCTCATCCATAAGAAGCAATTCCTCATCCCTTCAAGTTTTATCATGAGATTGCATCAATTCAGTCACATCTTCAGGCTCCACTTCTAATTCTACTTCCCTTGCTATTTCCACCACATCTGTAGTTAAATCCTCCACTGAAGTCCGAGTCTCTCAAAGTCATCCATGAGGGCAGGAATCAACTTCTTTCAAAATCCTGTTAATGTTGATATTTTGACCTCCTCCTATGAATCACCAATGTTCTTAATGGCATGTAGAATGGTGAATACTCTCCAGAATGTTTTCAGTTTACTTTGCTCAGGTCCATCAGAGGAAAGACTAGCTGCAGCAGCTATAGCCTTATGAATAGACTATATATGAATATTCTAAATAATAAGACTAGAAAGTTAAAATGACTCCTTGGGATCCATGAACTGCAGAATAAATGTGTTAGCAGGTATGAAAAAAACATTAATCTCCTTGTGTATATTCATCAGAGTTCTTGGGTGATGAGGTACACTGTCAGTGAGCAGTAATATTTTGAAAGGAATCTTTTTTTCTGAATAGTAGGTCTTAACAGTGGGCTTAAAATATTTAGTAAACCACACTGTAAGTAGATGTGCTGCCATGTAGACTTTGTTTTTCTATTTATAGCGCATAAGCAGATGAGTAGATTTAGCATAATTCAAAAGAGCCCTGGCATTGCCTTCAACTTGAAGTCACCACCTGCATTAGCCCCTAACAAGAGAGTCAGCCCTGTCTCTTGAAGCTCTGAAGCCAAACATTGACTGCTCCTTCCTAACTATGAAAGTCCTAGATGGCTTATTCTCCCAATAGAAGGCTGTTTTGTCTACATTGAAAATCTACTGTTTAAGGTAGCCACACTTTTTTTTTTTTCAGATCTAGACCGGCAGAAATGTAGCCACTTTTATTGATTATCTTAGCTAAATCTTCCTTAAAACTCGCTGCACCTTCCTCATCAGCACTTGCTCCTTCACCTTGCACTTTTATATTATGGAGACAGCTTCTTAAACCTCATTAACCAACTTCTGCTAGCTTCAAACTTTTCTTCTGCACCTCCCTCGCCTCTTCATAGAATTGAAGAGAGTCAGGGCTTTGCTCTGCATTATTCTTTGGCTTAAGGGAATATTGGGGGTGGTCTGATCTTTTACTCAGACCACTCAAACTCTCTCGCTATCATCAATAAAACTGTTTCACTTTCTTATCATTTGTGTATTTCACTGGAGTAGCACTTTTAATTTCCATCCAAAATTTTGCCTTCATATTTTGGCTGTTTGACACAAGACATCTAGCTTTCAGTCTATCTTGGGGCTTTCAACATGCCTTCCTCATTAAAGATGGCATTTCTAATTTTGAAGAATTTTGACTCTTAATTTCACTTGAACACTTAGAGGCTGCTGTAGGGTTATTAGTTGGTCTAATTTCAACATTGTTGTCTCTCAGGGTACAGGGACGCCCAAGAAGAGGGGGAGAGATGGAGAAATGGCCAGTCAGTGGAGCAGCCAGAAAACATACAACATTTATTGATTAAGTTCACCATCTTATCTTGGCGGGGTTCATGGTGTGCCAAAACAATTACAATAGTTAACATCAAAGATCACTAACCACAGATCACCATAAAATACAAAATAGTAGCTGGGCATGGTGGCTCATGCCTGTAATCCCAGCACTTTGGAAGGGCGAGGTAGGAGAATTGCTTGAGTCTAGGAGTTCAAGACCAGCCCAGACAGCAGAGTGAGACCCCATCTCTATAAAAAATAAAAAAATTAGCTGGACATGGTGGCATGCAACTATATCTCCAGTTACTCAGGAGGCTGAAATGGGAGTATCACTTGAGTCTGGGAGGTTACGGCTACAGTGAGTCATAATTGTGCCACAGAATTCCAGCCTGTGCAACACAGTGAAACTCTGTCTCAAAAAAAAAAAAAAAAAAGGCCACGCGTAGTGGCTCACACCTGTAATCCCAACACTTTGGGAGGCCGAGGCGGGCGGATCACAAGATCAGGAGATCGAGACCATCCTGGCTAACACGGTGAAACTCCATCTCTACTAAAAAAAAAAAAAAAAAAAAAAAAATTAGCCGGGCATGGTGGCGGGCACCTGTAGTCCCAGCTACTCAGGAGGATGAGGCAGGAGAATGACATGAACCCTGAAGGCAGAGCTTGCAGTGAGCCAAGATCACACCACTGCACTCCAGCCTGGGTGACAGAGCAAGGATCTGTCTCAAAAAAAAAAAAAAAAAAGATAATAATAATAATAATAAAGTTTGAAATATTGCAAGAATTACCAAAAGGTGACACAGAGACATGAAGACATGAAGTGAGTACATCTGCTGGATAAAGGGCATTGATAAACTTGCTCGACACAGGGTTGCCACAAACCTTCAGTTTGTGAAAAACACAGTATCTATGAAGCACAGCAAAACAAGGTATACCTGTAAATCCTAGAGGATCAGTAAAAAATAAAAAGATATAACTAATCAGCCAATAGTAGAGATAAAATAGGGTCATTATAAAAACTCAATCCAAAAGAAAGCAAAAAAAGCAAAAAAAGAATGAAGAATAGATGAGGCAGCTGGGTACAGTGGTTCATGCCTATAATCCCAGCACTTTGGGAGGCCAAGACAGGTGGATCACCTGAGGTCAGAAGTTCGAGACCAGCCTGGCCAACATGGTGAAACCCCATCTCTACTAAAAATACAAAAATTAGCTGGGTGTGGTGGCAGGCACCTGTAATCCCAGCTACTCAGGAGGTTGAGGAAGGAGAATCACCTGAACCTGGGAGCTGGAGGTTGAAGTGAGCCAAGATCATGCCATTGCACTCCAGACTGGGCAACAGAGTGAGACTCAGTCTCAAAAAAAAAAAAAAGAAAAGAAAAGAAAAGAAAAAAAGAATAGATGAGACAAAGAAATGATAGATTTAAATCCAACCACATCAGTAACTACACTAAATGTGGATGGTCTAAACATACTGATTAACACCTTATCAGACTGGGTTATAAAAAGCAAAGAAAGACCCAAATATATGCTGCCTATGTGAAACCCACTTTAAAACAAAGAGATTGCTTAAAAGTAAAAAGGTAGAAAAAGATACACTGGCAAACACTCATCTAAAGAAAGCTGGCATAATTATACAAATATCAGACAAGGCTGACTTCAAAACAAGACATTACCAAGGTTAAAAAGAAACATTACTTGTGAGTATGCAAAATGATAGGGCCAATTTGGAAAACAGGTTGGCAGCTTCTTACAAAACTAAACATATTCTTATCATACAATCCAGCAATCATGCTTCTTAGTATTTATCCAAGGGATTTTAAAATATGTCCACACTAAAACCTTTACATAGATGTTTATAGCAGCTTTATTCATAATTCCCAAAACTTGGAAGCAACAAAGACAAGATGTCCTTCATTAGGTAAATTAAACATTTTTCACTGTTGCTGATCTCTAAATATACTGCTCCAATAAAAAGAAATACTCTGGGGAAAAAAACTGAAAAGTCACTTATAACTCCAGAATAACTATTAGTATACCACAGGTGTGCAGAACATACGCACTTTTTATCTTTTAGAGACAATATATCTAGTAAGAACAATGTAAAATAATCAAATGTGTATCACTAAATAGACAGATTTCAAGGTTTTGAGAGCATGATAAACTCCCTGGCATTTCTTTTCATGAAACTAACTAATCCTTTTCTAGTACTCAGTCAAAAACATATTTTCCCAAAGTTTTCAAGTGGAAAAACTATCCATTAATTATTCTGAAAATATCTAGTATAAACACAAAATGGTGTTTAAGAAACACAGGCTGGGTGAGGTGGCTCATGCCTATAATCCCAGCACTTTAGCTGGGCATGGTGGCTCACGCCTGTAATCCCAGCACTTTGGGAGCCTGAGGTGGGCGGATCACCAGGTCAGGAGATCAAGACCATCCTGGCTAACATAACCCCGTCTCTACTAAAAATACAAAAAATTAGCCGGGCGTGGTGGCACACACCTGTAGTCCCAGCTACTCGGGAGGCTGAGGCAGGAGAATTGCTTGAACCCAGGAGGCGGAGCTTGCAGTGAGCCAAGATTGTGTCACTGCACTCCAGCCTGGGTGACAGAGCGAGACTTCGTCTCAAAAAATAAAAATAAAAAAAATCCCAGCACTTTAGTGGTTGAGGTAGGAGGATTGCTTGAGGCCAGAAGTTTGAGACTATCCTAGGCAACAGGGCAACATTCTGTCTCTATTTTTATTTAAAAGAAAGAATCACAAAGCAATGAGCAATAAATCACCTCTGCAACCCCTCTGAAGGACAAAACATACCACAGTGCTTTGCATATCACTGGCACTCTAAAAGATTTGCTCTAGTCTTCCTTTTTTTAAAATTAATTTTCTTCTTTCTTATAAAAAAAAATTTCTGCTAAAAATCAGCTAATGTAAATGATTTACCAAAAATGGGGGAAAAAAGCAAAATAATAATGCTTTGTTTCCATAGTATTTATATAGTTTGAGTAGTGTGTTTAGCACATTAATGCCCTCAATAAATATCTACTAAGAACCTATTAAATGCCACTAAGACTCTGGGATTTTTCCAAAGATAGTAACTTTCATAGACCTACATAGTTTATAAATCTAAGAGTTCACATTTGTGAAAAATAATTTAAATGGGAAAAAAAACTGTCTTACTGGATTATTTCCTTAACATACTTGTAAAACTTATCTCTTCTTTGGCTTCTTTGTACCATTTTCATTGTTCTGTAATTTGCTAACATATTAATTTTTAAATATTTTGAAATATCTAATTAGTAACTGTTTTCAAAAAACTTCAAATCAAGAACAAAAAAGTAATGTTTGAGAAATATAGTACCTGACAGAGGATGTTCTTGGCCCATGGTCTCTGGAATCCATTACCCAACCAACATGACACTCTAGAGGGGGATTTGTGCTATGCCTTGTTTTTCTCTTTCTTGGACTCTAAAGAAAATAAAGTCAAGCATTGCAATTAGTTTCAATAGTGTGAACTTCACAAGTAAATTAAAACCCTCTGACTATAAATGAACTCAAACATTTTCATACTGTAGATAACACATTGTGAAATCATATGAAGTCACAAAACTCAAAAACCTCACACACAAGTTACAAAACTTAATAAGGTCCTTTGGTAGGTTTGTGACACAAGGATAAAATGAAGTGCAGCTTAGTGAGATTCTTCATTATACTTTCTGTTCGTCTTTAATTACACTATCCAATGGTAAAAAAGGTTTTTGTTTACTTTTAAATGGGGTCTCACTCTGTTGCCAAGGCTGGAGTGCAGTGGCATGATCATGGCTCACTGCAGCCCTGACCCCTACAGGCTCAAACAATCCTCCCACCTCAGCCTCTGAAGTAGCTGGGACTACAGGCACATGCCACCATGCCCAGCTAATTTTTGTATTTTTTTAGAGATGGGGTCCCACGGCATTGCCCAGGCTAGTCTCCAACTCCTGGGCACAAGCGATCCACCTGCCTTGGTCTCCCAAAGTGTTGGATTACAGGCATGAACCACCATGCCCAACCAAAAAATTTCTTAACCTGAGAAACTATCACTATGGTAAAGTACGATTTTTAAGTGAAATATTACAAGTTATAACACACACTTTTTAATGTGATGTTACAGAAATTACAACGTCTCATTCTGTAATGTTAAAGGATACAAAATGCAAGCCTTATATTCCTGGTTGTTTTGTATACCTTTACATCAATGGCTTTTGGTTCTTTAACAACAGGATAAAATCTTGGTGTTTTGTTAGGATCTTGTAACCTAGGTGTTCGAGGTGTTTTGGGTGTTCTTGTAGGATGAATTCTAGGAGATTCTGGAACTGCTGTAGGCAACGAACAAACCATTGCTGCCAAAGTTATTTCTGAAACATCAAATAGCTTCTGAGCTAATTCATCAGTCAAATCTGCAAAATAAAAAACTCTTAAAATTATTTAGATGCTAGGAAAATATTTTACTTTGAGAATAAGGATAATTCTGGAATTCTCTAAGCTCAAAAGATTTTTCACTGAAAACATTTCAAATATATAAAAACAAAAATAACAAATACTTTTTTGACCATTATCTAACTTTATAAAATTTTTATTTTTCTATATCTGTTTATGACTTTTTCTTTTAAAGAAAGAGTGAAGCTTCCTGTGTAACCTCCGCTAATCCCATTTCCCTCCTGCTTTCCTTTCTCAGAGATAACTAGCCTCTTAAATTTGGAATTTTGATCTATTATTACATATATGTAATATTATTTTGCATAATTAACTTTATATATGTAACATAATACTGTATCACTTTGTAAACTTTTCTCATGTTTTATTTACATAGCTCTAATTTTTTCATTTTCAGTGCTGAATAGTATGTGGTGTACAAATATATCACAATTTATCCATTCTCCTGCAGAGACACATTTATATTATTTCAAAGTTTTTTGTTTAATCAACAATGCTGTGATCAACATTGTTGAACATGTTTCTGTATAGGTATGAACATTTCTCTAGGGTTTATATCTGAGTGGAAATACTGAGTCAAAAGAGATGTGCATCTGGCCGGGCGCGGTGGCTCACGCCTGTAATTCCAGCACTTTGGGAGGCCGAGGCGGGGGGATCGCGAGGTCAGGAAATCGAGACCATCCTGGCTAACACGGTGAAACCCCGTCTCTACTAAAAATACGAAAAAATTATCTGGGCGTGGTGGCGGGCGCCTGTAGTCCCAGCTACTTGGGAGTCTGAGGCAGGAGAATGGCGTGAACCGGGGAGGCGGAGCTTGCAGTGAGCCGAGATGGCGCCACTGCACTCCAGCCTGGGCGACAGGACACCGTCTCAAAAAAAAAAAAAAAAAGAGATGTGCATCTTCTGATTTAATGACCACTGACCGCCAAACCACTTTCTATAATGATTTCACCAACTTACACTCTCACCAGCAACATGTGAGAATTCCAACAATTCAACATCCTGGTGAAGACTGGGTTTTGTTTAAACTCTTAACTATTCTTCCATCTCATGGGATTTAAAAGATATTTGCATTTCCTTAGTTATTGCTAGTGAAATTGTGCATGTTTTCATATATCTAGTTACCCTTCAGACTTCCTCTTTTGTGAGACTGCTATTCAAACCCTTCGACTATTTTTTTTTTATTCTGTTATTTTACTTGCTGATTTGCTCATGAAAATCTTATGGTAAGATACCAAATAAGCCAGCAGATAAATCAAGTAATAGCAACAAAAAAAAATAGTCTCTATTTCCGTGTGGTTTTTCTTCAGACTTATCTACTTCTTTTGATTCATATAACAACTTTTTGTTTTTTCACTCAACAAATATTAAGTGCCTGCTATCTGCCAAGCACTATTCTAGGCACGAGTTTGTAAAGTCAAAAGTGAACTTACACATTTGCCATTTCCTCTCCCAATCCATTTTCCTCACTGTTACCAGAATGATTATTCTGAGGAGAAAATTAGATCATTTCATATTTCTGTTTAACATTCTTCAGTATTTCCCATTTGCCTCTAGAATAAGCCTAGGCTCTTTACCCTGGCATATGAGATTTTGCTGATTTTGCCTCATCTGTTGTCATTTTCCACTTTGATCTTGGTGACACAAATAGCACCAAACTGTCAGTCCTGATCCTTGTTCTGTATCTTTTCATATGCTTTTTCTTCTGTCTGAAAGTCCCTTTCCTGAATCTTTTGTATACCCAATGCAACAGTTACCATAGCCTTCCTTTAATACCCAGCACAGATGTTACCTTTCTTGGGAATGTGAAGCATTCCTTGAACACCTTTGTGCTGTGTCTGTATTTTCTCCATTTATTGTTTCATTTATTAAATTAAAATTTATTTTCTTACATATCATCCCATAGATGCCAAGAGTAAGTCTCATTGCTTTCCAGAAAGCAACTACCACAATTGCATCGAATACTAGTGCCTACCATACATAATGTCTGGGAAAAAATATATCCTCATCAAAGGAATGCTAAACTTAACTGAATTGTGTTAATACTGTTTTCCTTATACCAAAAATATATACAATCTGGCCAGGTGCAGTGGCTCCCATCTGTAATCCCAGCACTTTGGGAGGCCAAGCCAGGTAGATCACCTGAGGTCAGGAGTTTGAGACCAGCCTGTCCAACATGGTGAAATCCCATCTCTACTAAAAATACAAAAATTAACCAGGCATGGTAGCAGGCGCCTGTAATCCCAGCTACTCAGGAGGCTGAGGCAGGAGAATTGCTTGAACCTGGCAGGCGGAGGTTGCAGTGAGCTGAGATTACACCATTGCACTCCGGCCTGGGGAACAAGAGCGAGACTTCATCTCAAAAAAAAAAAAATATATATATATATGCATGTATATATATATAGAGAGAGAGAGAGATACAATCCTAGAGATAAAAACATGAACATATACTGAAAAATGTGTTAAATCCAGTACCTTTGTGAAAGACATTTTCAAAGATCTAGGAGCAGTAACAACCCAGAAAGAGTAAGCTTCCTATCACTTAGATTATGGTCTATAAATTCCATTTCCCACTAATTAGTTCTCCTCAAAGAAATAACATCTGGAGTACAGAATGTATAATCTGAGCCTGGAAAATCTTGAGCAATAAAGTAGCAGAAAAACAATAAAGTAGTTTTTAAAATACTAGCATAAATCAAAGGACAAAGGAGTAAATCTTAGAGGTTCACCAGTCAAAAATAAAACAATTTGACCACTAAAAACAATGACCAAAATGGATTAAACACATCGAATAAATAAGCTCCATGAGTTCATAATGATACTTTAAAACTCAATCACATTTAGAGTTTCCTAGGGCACCAACTCATTATTTTGAAAACCAATAAACTGAATAAAAAGAAAGAAGCAAGCATTTATCCTTCCTTGTCTGTAAAAGTTGAATTTCAGGGTAACCAAAGAGTTGATGAAAGAACATTCTTCATAAGAAAATTTTACGTAAGGATTGCAGAAGAAATGATGGAATTAGAAGATAACCATTTTGCAATTCTACTGACATAGAGGAAATCTAGGGAATATTCATCAATAGCTGCTAAAACCATTTGGTAAAAGATTGGAGCGAAACTTGTTAATGAAAGGATCAGGCTCGCAACACCTGAGTCAAATCATGAATCACAGCATCAGTAAAAGTGGGAGTGACAGACATACTATGGTGTTATAGGAAATAGACAAGTCTTCCTAAGAAATATTCTTGCTACTAGGAAAAAAACAATGCCAAAACTTGAATATACTCAATCCTCTATATCTAAATCCTTTGTACTTATACTTCATTAGTAATACATGGGATAAAGGATATACTAAATGATATGAAGAAGATACAGTCAGGTAAATATAGATCATAAGAAATCCTACCAGTTTCTTCAACAAATTAACCAGTTTCTTCAACAAATCATTGTCATGGAAAAACAAGGGAAGAGAAATAATTAGAGATTAAGATTGACTTAATGGTGTTATCAGTCAATTGCAATGTTTGCATCTTGTTTCGTCCTAGTTCAATCAAACAATTTGAAAAATATATTTAAGACAATTAGGGACAACTAAACATATACTGTGTAGTAGATTATATTAAAAATTATTGCTAATTTTGTTAGGTAAAATAATGGTGCTGTAAAAATTTACATACATACTTGTTTTGTGAGTCCTAGTCAGTTTGCAATATATAGTGAAGTATTTCCAGAAGAAATGATATGACTTTGAGATTCAATATAGAATACCAGAAATAGATTGGGAGGCAAGGTTAAAAAAGAATGTCAACCTATTAACAATTGTTGAAATTAGGTGAGATGGATACATAAGGATTTCGTTAAACAATTCTCCCTATTGTTATCTGTACCGGAACATTTCCAAAATCAAAAGCTAAGTTTTATTTGTTTTATACTTATTTTATTCCAGGTGCTCAGGGTGAATTTTGCCCACCAATAAGAGTAGGTACATTAATTTTGTAAGATTAACATCTATAGACTACGTTAGTTATCTCAAAAGAAACATTTTACAAAATTTTTATAGACTATCATACCAATTTATAATATTTTGACATAAAATTATCAAATATTAGTTCATTACAAGAACATAAAATATTCATAGTAAATATTAAAATATTATTATTGGAAATATATTAGGAAATGAACATATTAACATTTTTTGTCAACTACAAGCATAGCATAATATATGAATATCATCTATATATTATAACTTCCTTTTAATCAAAAGCATAGGCCATCTCTTGTACATGAATAGTCATAATAGCATTTTTCATAATAGCCAAAACTAGAAACAATCCAAATATCCATAAAATGTTGAACGGACAAAAAAATGTAGTATGCTCATTCTATGAAATAATACTTAGCAATAAAAGAAAGGTACTGATACATGCAATGACATAGATGAATCTCAAAAATATTATGTTAAGTGAAGGATTCCAAGTATATAACTATGTATCATATGATTCCATTTATATAAAATTTCTGAAAAGTGCAAAACCATAGTGAAAGAAAGATAACTAGTTGCCTCAGGCTGAAGGTGAATGTTGGGATTAACTGCAAATGTGCATGAGAAACTCTTTAGTATGACGGAATTGTTCTAAAACCAGATTGTGGTGCTGGTATACAATTTTATACATTTACTGAAATTCAAATGATACACTTAAAAAGGGTTAAAGCAGTAATTTTCAAGGTATGGTCCCAAATAGAACTATTGGCATGACCTGGGAACTTGTTAGAAATGTATATTCTCATATCCCACCTACCTTACTGATTCAGAAAGTTGATACAGAGTCCTTTAATCTGTTTCAACGAGCTTCCCAGGTGAACCTTACACATGCTAAATGTAAAAACCACTGAACTTAGGGGTGTGCTAACTATTCTACTATCTAAGGTTTTCCAAATTTTATCACTACCAAATCAGATCA